CCCCCCCCCCCCGTGTTTTTAAGTCTTTCTGATTGCTGTCACTATAGGAGCCTTTCCCTGAAGTTCTGGGGGGAGGAGGGGCTCACCTGGGTGTTCACTGGACCAGACTCTGAGCTCTGTATGCAGCAGCTGGGAAGCTCCTAAGGGGAACTTGCTGTTAGCACAGTGAGGTGGGCCTATCCCTGCCCATCCATATGTTTTAAATCCCCCAACAGACACTGCTCCTTAACACAGCAGCCAGCTCAGGTTAGAGCACCAAGCCCAGAATCTGGGACCATATCTAGAGGCAAGAAGAAAGCAAAGGGGATCCCCCTGCCCTTGCTACATTGAGAGCAGGTGCAGGTTTCATTCTCTAGACTGGAAGGCAGCTGCTGAGAGAAGCAGGCGCCGGTCTCTGGCTCGCTCTGCATATAGGGGGCTGGTCGTGCTGGACTCTAAACAGTACTCTTGGGCCTCTCCCTGGGGGAATTCCAGGCAAGCGAAGAGGCTTTTGCAAACTGGGGCTCCTATGCAGTTATATTTCATTAACTCTTGACTGGACCAAAGTGATTGATCCCTGAGGGCAGAGCTCACATCTTTCCTTTTCAAAGATAAATCCCCAGTGCGCGGCACAGTACATCCTAAATAAGTTATTGCTGAGTGAATGGATCTAGGGAAGATGCTTGGAGGGGGATTGTTGTGTCATTACTTTTCTCCGCTTGCTGATGGAAGAATGTCTGCCTAGTAAAATTAAAACCACGTATTGAGAATTCACCTTCCATAACCACCAATCAAAAATATTTTATGTATGTGTATGTGTGTGTATGTGTTTGTGGTTCTAGGACTCTGTCAGAGTATGTATTCAGGGAGGGAAAATGTTGCAGCTACTTTGTGAAGAAAAGAATATCATCTGTAGTGCCAGTAGGTCTGGGTTCTCTAGCCTTATGCTAAGTGCATACATGCTGACAGGAACTGAAGCATTTTGAAATAATAAATGTCAAGATGAAAGCTAGGAGATTGATTTTTCAATGCCAGACTCTCAATCCTGTTCTTCATTAGGGCTCTATGCGTACACACACACACACACACACACACACCCACACCCACATGGGAACCACTGCAGATCCCCCACCCTAGTTGTTCAGACAGCCAGCTAGGCCAGGGGGAGCATTTGGAATACAGTATTGCAAAGGTCCCAGATTGATTTTCATTTCACCAAGCTGGAAGCAGGGTTCATCCGTTTTGCAAGGGGGGATTGAAATAGGTTTGTGAAGATTGCCCGCTGGGCTCTTCCTCCTCCACTGGGCCGAGATTGGCTGGCCAAAGATGCCCATTGATTGTAAGTTTAGCCTTGAGAGCCAGGATGACTCATTCGGTATTTTTATGAATCAGTTGATAGTCTCCTGGATGAAGGTCCCTCTTTTATCTGCTCTCTATTTTTAATGGAGACCTTTTATCATCAAATAGGATATGCTTTTTGCTTGGGGATAAAGTATAGTTCATCTGAACTAGTATTCAGACCCAGAATGAAGGCCCAAGTTGGTTTCTCTGTAAATTTTATGGATATGGGAGAAAAGGGGTGGGGAAAATACATATTATATCTCATTTACACCCTCTCACTTATGAGCCCAATGAGATAGGTATTAATGACAGAGCAAATGGAGGCTTGGAGATACTGAGTAATTTGCCAAAAACCATCACACAGATAGTAGAGTGAGGATTTGAATCCTGGTCTGTGTCTCCTTAAAACCCTGTCGTTTCCCTTTATTCTGTTTTGTCTCTCTCCATGGTAAAGAAATGTGATTTACCTCTCCAGACCTTTGGAGTGTAAGCTTGCTTTCTTTTCCTTTCTCTGTGAGTATAGCTCCTTTGATCTTTTTATGTCTGGCTTAAGGGAATATTCGGTGGCTGCTTCCAGAGTAAAATGGCTTTTCCCCTAAAGTAGAGACATGATGGTCACATGCAGCTCAGAAGGAACCAACTCAAGGAGCGTGGGATAGGCGGGATAGGAGAGTTTTCTGTCTAAACTGTTACAAGAACATTGGCTTTGATGGGGAACTGATTTTATCAGCAATTCATTGAACAAGTTACACGGCACGTGATTTAAGCAGCCAAACTGAAGAAGCATGTTGCCTTTGGAGAAAGATGGACCTGGGTGGAAGCCAAAGCCCTACCACTTTCTATCCGTGTAACGCCAGTGGGCCTTTCTCTTAACTTCTCTAAGCTTTCCATGCCTCGACTGAAAAATGGGAATAATAATATGAACTGCATGGTGTTGAGAGGATCAGATACAAGAAAGAGACTGCCCACTGTTGGCACTAAATAAATAGTAGCTGTTGTTGTGGGTGTTGTCATAACTGTGCCTATACAACACAGTTCTTGGCAGCCTGATAGCTTGAGGGCCATCATTTTGATCATGTCTATAAGTAGGCAATATCATGTCACACCTGCTTAGTGATTACGCGTGAGACCTTCCTGGACATGAGTCCCAGCTCTGCCACTTGCTAACTGGATGTCTGAGGTCTGGTCCCTGGAAGCAGAGCCTGAGACGGGGGTGCTTTTTTAAGTGGTTGGTGGAGCGTGCTTTCGGGAGAATGGGAGCAAGAGAAGCTGGGCAGGGCAGGGAAAGAAGCTAAGCAAGGTTTGGTTGCAGCTGGATCCATCAGTAATTCCGGAGCATGAATTGTACCACAGAACTAATCTGACCCAGAAGCAATGGGGGAAGCCTTTTGCACCCCTACACCACCCCCTCCTTGCCACGTTCTTCAGATAGTTTTGGGCTGGGGGCTACTTCCTGAGTGAGGACATGGAACCTTTCAAGCAGAGGTGGCATCTGTTTGACTGAGGGCAGTCCCCCTTGGAAGGGGGGAAGCAGGGAAGGGGACTGCTCTGAGCTAGCAACCAGCACTCCCAGCAGCTGGTGGATGGGTGCACTGCCCAGTAAAGGGGATGGGTGAAGCACAAACAGTGTGCCCTCTACACTGATGGTTAACCTTGACCATGTTGCTTACTCCTCTAAACTTGAGTTTCCTATAATATGGAGATAATCACAGCACCTTCCTTTATAGCACTGTAATGGAGTTTAAATGAGATACAGTACATAAAGACCTTTCTGATGATACCTGGCACATAGCAAGTGGTCAATAAATGATAGCTATTATTACTTAAATGATTATTTTTTTGTTTCCATAGACACCGTCTATAGTTTATCATTCAAATTGGAACTCTTTTGAAAGGGGCACTAAAATAATTGCTCTGGGACTACAGGAGCAAAGTGGGATTTTCCTAGGCAAACCAGGTGCGTGGTGTCCCTCCCCCCCCATAACTGATAAGAATCAGATCGATGCCTTTGTTGTGAGCAGTATTGTCACAGTGGAGCTTCTCCTGGGAAGGAGCTCATGGAAGCTGAGGCAGAGGGTCTCCAAGTGGGGCTGCAGGAATGTATTTAAGTGGCCATTAACAAGCCCTGTCTGGTTTGTGGCTCAAATTGGCTTGGTGGAAAGGCACTAATGGATTGGGGACGTTTATTTTCCCAGACTGATTTACAGCAAGAGGCCTCATGAAACTGCTGGAATGAGACCAATTGGATGAAAAATGGTTCCAGCCAGTCACGGCTCCATTGGCTGATCTGAAAATGGACCGAGGGCAAGCCACACTAGAGGAAAGCCAACAGATTGATGGGGTCCGATATATCATGAGGGTAAAGTGTATTGGAGATAGGGGAGGGAACTAACATTTACTGAACCCTTGCTATGAGCCAAGAACTGAGTTGCCTGATATATATTCTTTGTTTCATTTTATCCTAATGGCAACTCAACAAGATGGGTATTACTATCTCCATTTTAAAGACAGGGAAACTGACATTCAGAGACATGTCAAGATCACAAACTGCTAAGTGGAAGAGTGGTGGGGAAATCCAAGTTCTGCCTTGTTCCTGGACTCTTTACGTTTAGGAGTTGGAAAAACAGAGACATAGTGACAAAGGCATGAGAGAGAGAGAGACCGAGACCCCAAGAGACACAGACAGGCAGACAGACACAAAGACTGGAATCAGAAATACAGAGAGAGAACCATGAATGTGTGTGGCTGA